TCATATTTTTATTGTAGCTTCTCAGCCAAACATATTTAGATTAAGAATCTCCAAGGTAACTGCAAGGATATGAATGTTGGTACTTGGTAACGCTGGTGCATGTATAATTTTTTTTTTTTTTTTTTTTTTGAAATACCATCAATACTACTACTTGTAATTTACTTTAGGAAGAGGAAGAGTTTGAACTTGAATGCAATGGGTTGGAAAAGAAGACTCTTTAACCACTCTTTAACCATTAGGGCAATCTACCATTTGTCTAGTGCATGAATTAGTCTCTATAGTTTATGACTTATTAATTTCAATAACTTGGGTCAATATTTTACTATTTTCGATTGCAACGATATTAATATTCTAAACTATTTAAGGGGAGGAGGAAAGAATTTGAATCCAAAATGAAGGAGAAATGATCTATCTACTAGAGCAATCCCTCACTTTTGCGTTTTTGCTAACTAGGAAGTCATTGTCGGAGTACTTGCGTTATCACAATGCCTGTAACTTGCCCGATCTTTTATATACTGTGCCTTTTTAAGTATGCACGTCATTCTCTTTTCAACGTTAATTTCAAAAAACCAAAGCTTGTATAAGAATTGTAATTACTAGATAAAGATCAACTATTAATCTAAAAAGAGGTGGTTATTTGGTACAGGAAGAAAATGTTGGAGTCCTAAACAAGCAAGGCAAATAAAATGATCAAGAATGAGCCGGTACCCCACCGATCATGGCACAATCCCTTAATTAGAAGTCCTTTTACTTGTGGTGCAAGTTTCTAACATTAATAATCAACTGGTAACAGTGACATGCCTATCACACATACAACTCATCTGAGGAGCCTTAGGCCTCTCTGCGGCCTCCAGTGGCACTTAGGAAACATTCAAGAGAACAACTCTCGCACGGGCTTTTGTGTTTCCACCAACAAGAGATTCATATAAGAGAGAAATTAGCCAAAGAAAAAAAATGATTTTACATGATTGGGATATAGCATTGAGGTTCTGATATTATCTACTGCTGTAAGTGTGGCCTCCATGGAATTCTCTTGATCCTTGCGAGGTGTAAATTTGAGTTGTCGCCGGAAGGCAATCGGTCAATGAGAGTACGGCGGATGGGGCAGCCGGAATGAGAGTAGTCAAGCCACTTGTCATACAAGGTGAGTGGAAAATGTGCTCGCATTTTGGTAGCTACCTCACAATTTCTTCATCTTCCAAGCCTCTCAAACACACGACACATTCAATGGTAGTACTAATGTTACAATATAAAGATTCATCATCATCTTCATTTTGGTCATAAGGCTGGCATCCTCTTTTTGCAATAGTGCCCCAATATTTCCCAGCACTTACACAAATTTGGATGATTCGCATCCTCTCGTACTCCATTGTTTCAGCATAACTGAAAATAAGCCATATTTTTTTTTTTTTCAAACAACCTGTTTTATAAAAAATAAAAGAACTATTAAATAATATGATTCAATAAGAACAATGATACGAAGAACTTAGGGTTTGTTTGGAAGTATTTTTAAAATGGCTAAAACCGCTTTTAGAGGAAATGTTTATAGCTTCCAAAAACACTTCAAGTGTTTTTTCAGGATTCACTTGCATTTTTACTAAGAATTAGTTCAGAAAGCAACCACCAAAATCGTTTTTTATCATTTTAAAAGAACTTCTAAGCCATCTTTTAATTGGTTTATATATCATTGATGCAAGCTTAGAATTAAGGGTGTGAATGTGACAGGGTTGACAAAAATAATTTTTGGTGAATAAATTTATTTCTTTTAAGAAAAACAATTATTATTTTTGGTGAATAAATATTTAAATTGAGAATCTTCAAACCTCCATTTTTCCCTCTTGAAGAAAGAGAGAAAATTATGGACGACAATGTACGGTGGCAAAACGGTAAGATGCTGTCACTAACATTTGGAAGTGTGATGTCATAATTTAATTTTCTTTGATAGTGTGTTTGATACGGTTAACTCTAGCATTACCGAAGGATCGTATTGTAGAGATGGTTTGCGTGGCTCTGTTGGCACCCAACTTTTTTATAAGTAGTTCACCTACAATTTAACTCGTTTCACATTTTTATACCATCATTTGTACGATATCTCTAATAGAGGTAGGTTCCGTCAACACATGTGATCTCATTCTTATTAGAGAGATGGTACAAAGGGTAATGCTAGAAAGACAAAAAATTTAAGTCAAATGATGTGTTACCAATAAAAAACAAACACGTTACTCGACACTTAGTTAATAATTCAATCAACGACAACCACATCATTTGGTTTTCAAATTTGGTTTTAAAGATTTGGTCTCCTATCATTACCCTAATACAAATATATGGTAAGTGTCATATTTTTTTATAACAAAAAAGGACACAAATGAAGGTGTTGGAGTTTGGGAACCACATTAAGTGACCCAGTGGTAAGGGCGCGGATTGCAGCGCTTCAATAAATAAAAAAATGTGAGAGGTCCCGAGTCTGATGCTCCGAGCTGATGACTCTGCTTAACTGTGACCACAGATAAACTGAAATTCCCATAGCTTCTTCGGGCCCGAAAGAGGGGATAACTTTGGCTTTCCACCGGTTGTCCCCTTTCTTTTGAAAAAGAAAAAAAAAATGACTCTGCTTAACTGTGACCATAGATAAACTAAAATTCCCATAGCTTCTTCGGGCCCGCAAGAGGGGATAACTTTGGCTTTCCACCGGTTGTCCCCTTTCTTTTGAAAAAAAAAAAAAATGACTCTGCTTAACTGTGACCACAGATAAACTAAAATTCCCATAGCTTCTTTGGGCCCGCAAGAGGGGATAACTTTGGCTTTCCACTGGTTGTCCCCTTTCTTTTGAAAAAAAAAAATTGACTCTGCTTAACTGTGACCACAGATAAACTGAAATTCCCATAGCTTCTTCGGGCCCGAAAGAGGGGATAACTTTAGTTTTCCACCGGTTGTCCCCTTTCTTTTGAAAAAAGAAAAATAATAAAATAATAAATAAATAAATAAATAAAAATTTGGGCACATGATAATCGAATGCCACTCACAATGTTCAAATTATTAGCATAGACATGACTTGGAAATCCAAATTCTCTCCCACTATCTTTGTGTTAGCAATACCTTAAACCAATTGAAACAAACCCACTCTCTTACTCAAAACCCCAACGAGACCCAACCGCCATTACCATCTCTTGGTTCAGTTGCTCCAGCGGCTCCTACAACTCCCTGGGGCAACAACCTCCGTTCTGCCCACAACCTGTTCGACGAAATACCCAACTGCAGAAATCCCTTCCTCTGGACCTCCCTCGTACGTTCCCATCTCCTTCACGACCGTTTTAGTCAATCCATCACTTTATATGCTCGAATGCACCGGGTATTCGTATTGCCATCTGTGTTCACCTTCTCTTCCGTTCTCAATGCCTGTGCTCGTGTCCCGGCTGTGTTTTAAGGGAAACAAGTCGACGCGATGGTTGTGCAGTGTGGTTTCTTGGGAAACAAGATAGTGCAAACTGCGCTCCTTCATATATGCAAAATGTGGGCTAGTAAGGGACGCGAGGGATGTTTTTGACTGGATGGAAGAAAAAGATTTGTTGCTTGGACGGCCATGATTTGTAGGTGTTCGAAGAAGGGATTCATAAGGAAAGCGCGGAGGTTGTTTGATATCGTGGGGCAGCGCAATGCTGTTTCTTGGACTACCATGGTTGCTGGGTACACGAACAATGGTGATATGGAAAGGGCAAATGGATTGCACGAAAGAATGGTGGAGAAAAATTCAGTGGCTTGGGTGGCTATGATAGCTGGATACAGGAAGCGTGGTAATGTAGTGGAGGCCGAGATGGTTTTTGACGAGATACAGATGCCGGATGTGTCATGTTGGGCAGCAATGGTGGCTTGTTATGCTCAGATCAGAACGGCCATGCAGAAGAAGCCATTGGATGTATAAGAAGATGAGGGAAGCAAAAGTGAGAGTCAATGAGGTGGCTATGGTGGGAGCTATTTCAGCTTGTACACAACTTGGGGGTGTTGAAATTGCAGCCACATTGGCGAAGCATGTGGAGGAAAGGGTTTTGTGGTAAGTTAAATCTTGAAGTCAAGGATTCGATTGGATTGACTAACTCACTAGATTCAACGTATGTTGGATGAAGAAATGGGTGTCAAACTTTCATATTTTATCTAGGATGATGATAGAGGATGGGTTAGTCATGAAGGAAACTTATTCGTTTTAATCTCCCAAAAATGGTAGGATGGGGAAGCAATGAGTTTCCTGCATAGCTAAGAGACATGTTCTACCTCCAACTTAGACAAAATTCGGAAGTCTTCATTCAACGTACATTGAATCTAGTGAGTTATCCAATTCAGCCTATACACCGAACAAGGCACGGAACGGCCAACGATGTTGTGGATCTTTTCTCAGAAATGCAAGGGACAGAGTAAGACCAAACCAGGTAACATTCGTCAGTCTCCTCAACGCATGTAGCTATGCAGGACTGGTTGAGGAAGGGTGCCGGTATTTTGAGCTGATGACTCAGGTTTTCGGCATTGAGCCACTGAAGGAGCACTACGCTTGCATGGTTGATCTTCTTGGAAGGGCTGGGCTGCTTGAAAAGGCATCCAATCTTGTAATAGACTACGTTGGCGTCGCAGATGCAAAGATTTGGGGCCCGTTGTTAGGAGCTTGCAAGGTTCATGGCAATGCCGAATTGAGTGAAATTGCAGCCAGGCATCTCTTCGAAATAGAACCGTGCGACACAGAAAATTACGAGCTTTTGGCAAATACTTATGCAGAAGCAAACAAATGGGATGATGCTGACAGAATGAAAAAGATGATGACTCAAAGAGGAATGGGAGAAGCTCCTGGGTGTAGCTGGAGAGGTTCTACTGTGTAACTGGGGTATACCTTCGCTCTCATCACGTGAATAATTGACTGTAAATTTTCTCATCGAAAAAATCGTTCTCTTTCTACAAATGAGTGCATCCGACTTAGCTAGATAGGCACGGAATTTATGCTTGGCACGCAAGCAAGATAGAGCCGAAGAGCATTTAGAAGTGCATTGATCACCATCTCCAGAAACACAGATTATCGTGCAGTACATGTTCAAAATTTCAAGAAGTAATTAATCTAAACATACAACACATGGACCAGAAAATTTACCTATTTCGATAAGCACGACATTCTAATATCAATTCTTCTCTTTCGACTAATTTTCAAATTGAGCAAATGATTTGATTATGTCGTGCTCTGTAGGCATCTCAAATCTGGATATACATCACATCCACGGATCATTCTTCTGTGCCGATTCATGTAAGAAACTCGGGTCTGCATGGTATGACTATCAATGATATTACTGCTTCAGGGGAGCCTTCTTCACTCTGTCAGATATACGAGCAGGGTCCGTTGAATGCGACTTGAAACGACCCCTCCCTTCCCCTTCCTTGTCCTGGAGAATGCAAACGCCAAAAAATAGATTTTTATCAGAAGCACATTTCTTTCCTCGTCCGTGGCAAAGAAACAAAAAACACTGGAATCTAGCAAGCATCTGGAATTACAATAGTCATAATACCCAAACTTCTTTTCTCTTATTCAGAAAATCAGTGCGATATTATATGAAAAAGCAAAGGAGAGAGTTGTAAAACCTTGGTCAAAATATAGTGATACAGAAGCCGTGTATACTCGTCGATGCGGTCTTATTTCTAATGAAAATCACAAAGACAGGTTTACCTTTTTCTTGACAATCTGAACCACGTCTTCGTCATTCAAAACATGACCGAGACCACAATGCTGTGGGTAGTGCCTTGCGCTTGTACCCCACACTAGCACGTATTTAACTTCCTTCACTAAACTCCTGTGTATATGGTTACAAAAGTCTCCAACAGAGCAGCCCCCTCTATCCTACACATACATGCAAAGAGGAATAAGAGAAAACGAACAAAGCCAGAAAGCTCATAAGAATGGTGTATTAATTGATCCTAAAAGATAACAGAAAAAAAATATTTGCAACTTACAGCAGAAAGAACTACAGGATCACCGAAATCAGGTTGCTGGCCCTGTGGCTTGGTATAAACTCTAACAAGTCCCATCTCCTCCCACATTTTTGCAAGCAGTCTGTCAAAGTTCAGCTGTTGAGCAACATCATGAATCAAAGTTAATGTTCCGGAACCATTTCGTATGGGAAACTCTTGTTTCATATCCATTGCAAGATGTTAGAAAATGGTAATGTAATTTTTTTCGTTTTGCACAATACGGTCCAACAAAAATATAACTTGCCTTGAGATTGCAACTAATGACAACAGAATTAGGTTGCCGGGCTAATTTGTCCACATCATCAATACCAATAACATCTATCTTGTTGTATACATATACACACTTCATGTACTTCCGGTTTCCCTCAATGACATCAATAAGATCATCCACTGTGGCGTCCTCACGAAACAGCAACTGCATAAAAGCTATTATACATGAGTATTCTTTCCCAAAGGATGAGCATGGAGACGACAGCATCACCGATTGAAAGATTGTACATCACCAACTTAAAGAAAAGCACATACCACTAGTTGTGTATGCCCAATAAAAGAATTACCATTAGCTTCCATAAAGAACAACATTGACTAAGCCTAAGTAAACTACCTCAGCATTGTGAATTTTGTATTCGTGAAGAATTTGATAGCAAAGCTTCTCGTCCACATGAGTCAAAGTGAGAGTGCTGTGGAAAGAAATTCCTCCAGTCTTTTTCTTTTTGAAGTATATCTGCCCATGGAACAAAACGCAAAATCCAGCGGAAGTCTACAGTTAACAAAACAAACAATATATGGAAACAGCGAAACAACCAACAGAAACTAAGACCCGGTTGAGTCTGTTTTCAAAACGCTAATATCTATATTGTGAAGATGAAACTTACTTGAGGCGGTTTCTTGTTTAAACGTAAGCCCACAGCTTCCAGCTCCTTTGTCAATATTTGCCGATGGCCTTCACTCTGAAACATCAAAATGTGAGGGCTAGACTAAATAACTGACAGAATCCAAAAAAAAAAAAAAACAGGTAATCAACATAAAGTATCAATAAGACAGGATTCAAAGGTCAAGCAGGTTGCTACGAATGGAAAACAATGAAAGGTCTTGAAGCAGACTAGCAGTAAACTTATTTATCAGCTGTTTAAATAGCAACAGTAACAACAGCATGTTACTAATAAATACTTACCTTTGAGGCATCAAGGACCATCAACACAATATCTGAAGACTTGGCAACAGCAATGACCTGCAAGAGAGGGTCTTATCAAATCCATCCATTTCCATGATACTTGGAAATATGGAGCAGGGAGAGAAAAGGCCAAATACAAGTCGTCAGACTGATCACCATTCTACCTTTTGTAACATTCTCATGATATTATTGTACAATAAACGCATAATGACATGTTATCACAAGAAGAGAGGAAGCTTAAGGGAATATTGTTATCACCTGCCTACCACGACCTTTGCCTTCAGAAGCACCTTCAATAATTCCAGGAAGATCGAGCAGCTGAATTTTTGTATCATTGTAATGTATAATCCCAGGAATGCAGGTAAGAGTTGTGAACTCATAAGATGCAGCTTCAGAGTGTGTGCCCGTCAACATAGTCAAAAGTGTCGACTTTCCCACACTACAAACAAGAAGCAAATCTCATAAGGATTCGCCACTTATTACTGTTTGAAGGTACAACATTTCATTTTGCTTTCTTTCCACGATACACAATGCATATTGAGGTTATATAGATATCGCAAACCTAGGAAACCCAATAAGCGCAACACGTCCGTGACCAAATTTTGTAACTTCGAAACCATCTCCACCTCCGCTAGACCCCTGAAATTCATTTATGAATCATTAAAATGGAAAAACTAAACCTCAAACACATGAAAAGAAAGTTGTTTCAAACCAATTGAACCAGTACAAAGATTTAACAAGAATCCCATGCACATCAAACTTCCTAACACTAATACAGGAAACGTTATATTCACATCAAACCATACTCATGCCTTTTTTTTTTTTTTAACAAACAATATTATCTACACTAAGGACCATACTCATGTGTATGTGTGTATAAAACATAATACATATATATACACACACACACATATATTTATGGAAGAATTGCATACTTTCGGAGGCTCCAAAAGCTGAGTCCTGAGCTTGGCAATCTTTGCCTTGAGCTGGCCAAGATGATACTCTGCATTTCTTTCAGCATTTCAATTAAATAAAAAAAATTAAGATATAACCCAATTTATAAAAGAAATCAATTAATTTAACTACCCAAAAAAATTGAATTTAATATAAAAAGGTAAAGTGCCTGTGGCTTTATTTTTCTGAGTTCGAGCCATTTCGGCCTCAATTTCCTTGATCCTTTCGATGATCCCCATTGCTACTGGATTTTTTCAGCCCCTACAACGAAAAAAGCAACAGCAGGAACAGATGAGATATAGAAACTACCAATTGAGGAATTAAAAATTGAAAGGTCTGTTTGGTTGCCGAGAAATTGTTGATTCAACTGCGACGTCTCGGAAACCAAACAGAGAGTGAATTTGAGTGAGGGAGGAGAAGCTGAATTGCTGTGAGGGAGGTTGAATTGTTGAAGGAAGAAATGTTAATTGTACGAATTGGAGGGAATGGAAGTGCTGCGGTGGAGGACTCACCGTGACTCAGTTGGCGACGATGACGTCTCTGGAGCTGAAAGTACCAGAGAAGGGGGGAGAGAGAGAGAGAGAAAGAGTGTGTGTGAGTTAGGGCTGAGAAGAAGAGAGACAGTACGGGCTTTAAATCCAGGTTCGGTAACGTGCGTCTTGGGCCTCTTTCTTGGGTACCATCTAATCAAATTTCCTGTCTTTTTCTTTTTTTTCTTTTTCTCGTTATAATTTTACATTGTTCAGACCCGTCTAGTCATCCGCCTAGGTTATGAATTTCATTTAGACAGAGAATAGATAAATTTTATTTTTTCACTAAATTGTAAGAGACTTATTGAATACTTAGATGAACACTCATTATATGTTTGTTCTTCATGTTTTCAATATGTTGTAATACTTTATAATTTATATGTTATTCTACTTTACAATTTATGTGTCCCAATACAGTTATATATTTTTTTTGGTATAAATAGGCACTTATTTATGCGATACATATAAATTTACTTAAATATGCCTAGTCCTCTTCGACTCCACAAGCCGCCTAGGCACTAAACCTCAGCCCGTCGTCCAACCAACGCCTGACATCTTTTTGAACCTTAGTCTCAATAGCACTCAAGCTCTAAATAGTTAGTAATTTAATATGGTTAGTCTCTTTGGCTCACTCCACAAATTTAATTGATGCAACTCGTTCATTTTTTGGATCTTCATTCAAGATTTTCTTTGAAAATTTACCCAAATCCCAAACCAGACTTTGTTTAGCCCTTCGGTCATTGCCTTGGGGGGTTTATTATTTATTGGCGACCTATTTAAGACTTATAATCGGAGTGACAAAAAATTAAAACACAATTCAACTTGAGCATTCGGGTCATGCTTTTCGAGTCCATCCTTGTTCTAAACCAATTTGTGTTCCGTTGATCAACCCGGAAGTGTTCGCCGGTCGACTTGCATTGCAAAAATTGATTATCAGTGCACGCGGTTAACCGTAGTGGAGAAGATCTCTAACGTTTAACAACAGGCATAAAACCGTTCATAACAAATTACTGAGCGAGACAATGTGTTAGCAGTCAGAGAATGTGCCATAAACATGTTTAAGCCTACATCTCGGCAATCCATCTGCAGCATATAAGCTGTGTTAACAAGTGAATGTCAGCATATGAAAGCGGTTACAGTCCAGCAGTATCCTTATTTCTGGATCCGCACGACTAAATGTTACTTTGTATACAATGCTACAAGAAGCCCGATCTCATTTGATGCAAGCTTCGACTAACACTGGCCGGCTTGCTCGGCCCTAGATTTGGCGGTACCTGCGCGCGCATCTCAGCAAGCTGTCTTACTTTCAACAAAATTGATGCCGGGATGGGAACTGAAGCATGTTTCCGGGAGTTTATCTGCATAATTTCCCACAGACAAACCAAGTAAAGCCAGTAATCAAAAGGACATTTAAAGAGAAAATCAATGCTGTATAGTGTACTATATATAGAGGCATATTTGCTTCTTAGTACAGACGCCAAACATCAGTTTCGCAAGCTACAATGAAGCAAACCACCATAGGACACCAGATTTTGCTGTAGACACCCGTCGAAGTTGTAAAATACTATGGAGATACGACCAAAATGCAAAAAATTTATTTACAGAATATAGGCATTTCTGGAAGATATATTTGTATGCAATATTAGAAGTTAAAGGCTGAGCGAAGAGTTCAAAGAAAGCTCGCATTCGAAAGAGATGGGAAGTTGGAACACTTCCCGTCTAACCAACTCATGAAAGAGAGGGAAGGGAAATGTACTCACTCCTTCATCAGGAGGCGTTTGCGCAAAGCTAGCTTTCAGCAGGTTTCTCCACTTGTCCTGCAAAATGATACATGTTTTCTTAGTCAAAAGTATTTACCATCATTTTTAGCATAACTGGATGCCAAATGAACTTGGTACCTTGAACACAAATTGTAAAGCAAAATTATACCTTGAGATCAACAGAAGTGCGATATGAATACGATGCAAAGGAAAGCCTTTTGATCTCAGACCACCTCCCAGTGCCACACTTAGACACACCCTCTACTAATTGTGTAACCTCACCAAGAGTCCAAGCTCGATGGTGCTTCCTTCTCATTCCACCTTTTGCTGTGGGAATCTGGGCTGAACCATCATCTGAATTGTCCTCGGATGAATCTGTCTGCTTCATGCCCATGTTCTTATCCGGTTCAATTGTGCCCATTACTGAGCGACGCTTGTCTTTCTCTGGTTCAGCAGTAAACTACATATGTAACAAATTAACATAACAAAAAATTAGCATGCAACCAACTGATAAGTAATTTAGTATAGCACTCAAACAAAAGGCAATATCAAAAAGGACGTTACTCCCATTAGTCCTCAGTAAGACAAAATACCACTCCATAACGAATAACCTGCTACATTAACGTTACCCACGCATTATCAAATTCAAACACATATGCCCATAACTCAATGTGAAGTTAAGCGAACTTGATCTTGCCTGTGATTTCATCTGTTCAGAAGCAGATCTGGTTTTCAAGACTTTGTCTGCATGCTCACTCTCTGGTAGCGAACTACGCACACTAAAGGCCTCTTTTACAAGTTTAGCTGTCGCACCCATTACACTCATGTCGAACTTCTACAAATAGAAAATCGAACGCATTCAGGCATTGTGTCGTAAAGATGACTTAAGAGTGCTATATCATCATAGTAATTCCTATGCTTAAGAAGAAAAGGAAAAGAAATGAAATGATAAAGCAACTCTATTGCCACATTATAAAAGGAAAACCTACCATAAGGGCCATAATATTTTTCCTTGGACGGCTTCTACGAACTCGAGAAACATAGGGAACCTGAACACCAGATCCACCAAGAGAGTCGAACCTGGTGACATAAGTTCTCTCATTTGAAGGGACATTTGTCACATTTCCAAGAGGGTCCAACCTGTTGACAGTAGCTTTCTCATTTAAAGGGACATTTCCAAGAGGCCTACAAGATTTTACAGATGTTTGTCCTTGTCCAGCATTTTTAACTGGACTAATCACTTTTGGGCTACAATCTTTTGATTCCACTTCAGAAAGCTCTTCAATATATCTCTTAGTGGGCTTCCGAACTCGTTTGGCAGCTCTCTGATCTGTGTGAAGATCCTCACTTCCACAATCAAGTTCTACACTACTGTTTCCCAATCTCTTGCCCGAAACAGTGTGATGATTTTCCATTTGGCTACTGTGGCTAGTTGGTGAAGTTTCATACCCATGATTCTTCGCTTCACCATCAGACCCCTCAGTGAGCATACCATCAGCATTCTGAATGCTATCGTCTTTACCCTTCTTCACCAATTTGTTATCTATGATAGTGAAAGTTGTGGTTGAAACATCACAAGAGTTAGTCAATCCCATTGTAATCCTCCTCTTAAGCCATAACTTGTCCTTAACAGTAGTTTCTCTCCCAAAAGTTGCCCGAAATAATTCATGAAGTTCTCTAATTGATAGGTTGTCCAAGCATATCTCCCCCTTTAGTGTATTTACATCAGGCTTTGAACTAGTGCAAATGACACAAGCTGATGATCCACTTTCTATTGGTCCATCTGGCGGTTGTTTTGAGCACTCCCCAATTCTCCCAGATTCATTAATATGACTTCCATCTGGACTCAGTGATAATGGAGGACCAATATCCTGCAAATGAATTTCAGATTGCAGCTTCTCATCAATAGCAGGCAATTTATCATGCTGATCAGAACACTGGATGTCTACATTCATAAAAGAAGAAGAATGATCAGGCGATCCACATGCTAGGTGGAGCCTCTCTTCCTGTTTGACCTTTTGCAACAACTCAATGTACTACAAGAGATTTTAGAGGTCGAGAAAGATTCAAGACGATTTTTTAACTAGATATGCTAAAATTGTGCACATACTTGCAGAGATAAAAGAAAAAGAAGTATTGAAAGAAACTATCTGTAAGTTATAAGAAATGAACAATCAAACCAGTTGATATAGAAATATGCCACTAACACGTAATACTGAAAAATTTCAAGATCAAGAAATTCCTTTCTAGAAGATTAAAATGCATAGCAACTAGGAAATATAACTGCCATACAAGGGGTATCTGTAAACATGTCTAAGTGCTTGAATCAATTTATGAAAGAGACATAAAGTTCAAGTTATCCAAAAGAATAATGTTATGGCTTGTTATATTAACACTCCACATATTGTTGAATACACCCCACATTTGCTTTTTCAATTAAAAATCATCTTAATACACCCCACATGCTTCCCCATAATACCCTCACACCCCACATTCTCAATATACAATTTACATTTTCTAATACACCCCCACATTCTTCACACCTTATTATACTTATTTTTAATTTTTATAAATTAAATTTACTTTGGACATGTGAAACAAAGGCCTACTGATGCTCCGGTTAGAATATGCGATTACGGGACAGAGGTTTAGGGCTGAAGGGGTAGAGGAAGACCTAGGAAGACTTTGAAAGAGACTCTAAGAAAAGACTTCAGAGTTCTTGGATCTAATGGAAGACGTGACACAGAACCGAGCGCAATGGCGTTCTAGGATTCATATAGTCAACCCCACTTAGTGGGAAAAGAGACTCTAAGAAAAGACTTAAGAGTTCTTGGATCTAATGGAAGACGTGACATAGAAACCGAGTGCAATGGCGCTCTAGGATTCATATAGCCAACCCCACTTAGTGGGAAAAGGCTTTGTTGTTGTCATTGGGAGTAAAGCTCTCTCTAAGCAACTAAGGTTTGATGATCTGGAGGAATTGATTGGCATTGTAAATTAGGTCCTCAAACGATCAACTAAGAGATATAAGTAAGTTAGGAGCAAATTGGTGTCTGCATTTCCCAAGGTGTTCTAATGTCAAGGGTTTGACTACAAAAGACTCACTGTTTAAGAGCGTTCTGCATGACCATGGTGCAGATACAACCCATGACTGCAGGCACTTTGAATGATATGACATACAACCTTAAATTCCTACTAAGACCTTGAACACACAACAAATATTATTGTTTCTTAGGAGTCACATGTATATATTATTGTTTCTTAGGAGTCACATGTATTTGGGAAGCAAAATAAAAGCCTCCTATGAAACCTGCTATAGGCAGGCCGCAAGAAATTAATTTGTATACCTAGCAATTCTTTTGCAGTTTGCAGTATAGGTAATTCACAGATTCAGACTACTTAAAGCTTCAGCATTCATTAAACGAATCCAAACCTACCCTAAGTTCCTTTATGGAAAGACTTCTATCACTTTATATAGGGAGATGCCGTTCAAATCACTAAAATAATGAAAAATATGAAGTCTTACCTCACGTGAAATTTCCAAAACGTCAATTTCGTATTCTATTCGTCAAAATAATTTTTCTCAATCAACGTTTTTGCAGTTTTATTGGTTAGGGTTTTATTCTGTAATGGAGGGTGAGAGGGGTTTTGAGAATTGAAGAAGATAAATAACACGTTAAAACATGATTTGGAGTGTATTTAGAAATTTCTTACTTTTTTTTTTTTAACCTAATAAGGTCGAAATTATCATTGACTAATAGGGTATTCAGAAAGGTCATAGCAGGGTACAATTTTAAGCAAAATAGAACTTAGCCATCTGATTCTACAACAAAAGAGGAATTGTATCCAGAGAAAGCAAGTCAATACCTCTAGCCGTGCATTTAATTTTGCATCAGCTTCTGTGTTCTCTGAATGTGACAGACCTGGAAATGTATTGCTACATCAGAGATGAAAACCATTACAGAACCAACACCATGAGATATAAAAACAGAATGCCTTCAAATAACTTAACAAACCAAGTTATACAACTAGTTTCCAACAAAGCCATTTATCATTGAAAGAATACTTCACTAAGTCACGGAAATAATAGGTATGCAACACAGAACTTGAATATAACTTAAAGTACCCAAAATTGGTCACTTTAGTGGTGTAAATAAATGAACTTCAAACCCATTGAGGAGAAAAAGTAAGTTTGAATAAGATTTCTCAAATTAATTAGATATTTGAGATTTGAGATACTCATTTAACTTGTAAGATTAAATACAAAGGTCTGAATAGATAAAAATCAGACTTAGAATGCCCCACTAGTCATTAGGTACAGAAGTTATAGCTGACGGTTCCAAAGTGCATAAAGTTACTGCGAAAAATTTTCCATAATGATAAAGATGGAAATGAAATCACTAGTCACAACAATAACTTAAATAGACCTTCTGAGTTTTCTTTCTGAGGTTTCCCAGAGGAAGACTCGTTATTGGAAATGCACCTAACATTTCCAGCGTCCGGAACAACAGGTAATTCAACTGTTTCGTCAACAAGAAAATCCTCAACTTCCATTACTTCATCATCTGTTGCTGGCACTAATCTCCCATTACCTTCAACCTGGAATCAAATAAGACAAAATAAATGGCAATGAAATTATCAACTATGAACTTTTTAGTTCATAGTTGTAGTGCAACACAATTTTAAGTTTCCCCGCTTAAAAGCATTATGGAGAAGCTGGCTCTCATCTCGCCAAACCCAAAACTGGCCTCTCATTTAATCCAAGTATAAACCTCGAGTTTTAAATTGGTGACAAATTAAATCCCCAAACCCAAAGCTTCAGAGAAAAAAACATATCAAATCACAATGCTCAAGCTTCAATGCCTTTCTATTATGATTTTCTAAAATCTGATTCACCCCAGCACCCTGGCTACTTCTAATTGTAATTTTTGAACAAAATAACTGTAAAAAACACTTGGTAAATATACAGTCCTCTATCAACTCTAAAGCAGTATAATGAAGACCCATTACACAAGATAATCATGTTTCTCTACAAATTTGAAAGTTGAATCAATCCTACTGAAAAATAATTAAAACTTTTAGTGCAAATGAAAATGTACCCGAACAAGCTTGTATACAACAGGATCGGCAATCTGCTTTGGCGAAGACAACGAAGAGCTACTTTTCTCAACCCCACTCTCCTCATACATCCCTTCATCATTCCCCTCAACACCGACCACTGTTTCCATGGAAAATCCACCACATGCAACTCAAATACACAAACTGAAACCCCAAAAACAAATAAACAAACACAAAAAAAAAGTAAATGAACAAAGTTAAACTTCAAAATTTTTAAAATAATGAAACAAAGTAAAATCTTATCCACAAAAATATAACGCACCCATAACTCAAAACACACTAAAAATCTCCCCCAAATCAAGCACTCAAACCTGCAATTCAAAATTTCAAACTTCCCAAAACCGAAAGCAAATCACAAAACGAAATTACCACTATATCAAACTACATTTTCTCCAAAGACTGCAAATTTCCAAGCCTAATTACATAAAACTACATTTCTAGTGAGAGAAAAGTACCATTTCAAGCTGAATTTCAAGGTAATTCACATAATATCACACTAAAAGCTGGGAATTTACATGCATAACTAGAAATGTTCAAAATCTTCGCATTCGAGGCAAAATTGAACAACAGATGAAGCGAAATTGAATAGGACGGGGCTCACCATAGGACTGTGGAAGTGAGGAGGGAGTTGACTCGGTCCTTGCGAGTGGAAAATTGCAAGGAAAGCGACCGATTCGAGGCGCGCAGGAGACTGAGTCGGGAAGAAGACGAGTCGTTTTCTGAGAGAGAAAGCTTGTGAGGGAAGCTTTGAGGAAAGGGAAAACAATCGGATTGGTCTGCTGCAGCTGCACCCGTGCGTGCCTTGTTTGCGCCTCTCTGTTTTTTGCCTCGCTTTTTTAGTAAGCTCCGAGCTTTGGTGTCGTACAGTTGCGGACTCCAAACGCTACTTCCAATGCACTTCACAAATAGGACTTGGCGTCCGGTTCTCTTTTATGTTTTCGAATTTTTTATTTTTTATTTTTTGAGTAGAAAAGGTTTTTTTTTTTTTTTTAACGATTTTAACGAAACGTTCATGATACTGTTTACTCTAATAAAAAAAAAAATTATATTTTTACACTAAAAATTCAATCTTAGTACTATTCATTTTACCTTTTATTTCGTCCTTATCTTAAAACTCAAAGCTTTTAAGTTATTTTCTTTAGTTTTTTTTGTTATTATTCATATTACATAGCAATGACGATTTTTTATATCAGACAACACAACAATAAAATTTAAACGGACAAAATTATCAGTTGAGTAAGAGAACCGTTACTTGGTAAGAACGTGATTGTAACACAACTTGATACAAGTACAATATTAATTAGTTTAGACTGCCACATGAGCTAAAAAATAATAATAATAAAAAAAGGAATTGCTATTGACATTTTAAAAATCTCATTTGCACTTCAAACTTTTTATAACTAGAAAGAAAATTACATAATAAGTAATAGGTTTTCCGAAAACCCTAGAATGTCATAAAACATATATCGTATATAGTATGCTTAGTAGTGGTATCACAATTACCCGAAGGAGTTTATAAATCTTCCGTCCGAAGGCCCTACATTGCCCGCCTGAAGGCATATATAAATGAATATCCACTAAGTAGGCACAGAAAATCAAAAACATAATCTTTCCAAAATGTATCTCATCAGAGCTCAGTAGCTCAAACATCATATCATAAATCATATTCATAAATATCTCAGTAACGTAAATTCGATAAAGCATGATATTTCATAAAGCGTAAATCCGATAACTCAGTAAACTTTTCATAAAACATATTCATAAAATCATGTTTTTCATGTATGCATTTTGGAAGGGTCCACTCACAAATACTTCGTCGTCAAAGAGTTGTTCGAACTATAGAGGACAGGGTTGCCGTTAACAAACACACATAAGTACATAAATGGACCAATTAATAAAACTCTACTAAAACGATTGAATTTGGGAAAACGGACGTCTTATTATGACGTCAAAAAACCTAAAAGGGGACCTCAGGTTCCCCTCCGTGCCACCACAAGACGCTGGCCTAGGAGGCCATGTGCCACTGCACGTGTCAAGATAGGTAGCCAGAAAATTCGCCGGCGCCACCGTGGACAACGGCGAAGGCATGTGTGCTCCACACACCGGCCATGACAACCCTCCATGCGCCACCGTTTGAAAATCTGGAAATTTCTGAGATTTTCCCTCCAACTTAAGAGCCCATTCTGAGCTCAATACAAGTCCAAATCGAGTGATTCAAAAGAAAAAATGTAGTTAGGAATATGGAGAAGAGATTCATACCAAGTTGGAACCGAGTGGTGGCTGGAGTTGGCGGGAAAAGTGGCTAGAAGATGGCCAAATGACCACGGTTTGGAAAGTTCCAAATTTACATCGTGACTTTCTTTGAGCATTTCCGTGTTCTTACACCACCAAAACCACCCAAAAACTTGCTAATCATGAACCTAGACACAATCAACAAGGATAGAGACTAATTTCGAGGCTTACCTTCACCGAAGATGGCAAGAATTCGCCGGAGAAGCTCCTTGCATAGTAACTGCACTGTGCAACACGGGAAGAGAGTTTTTGAATGGTTTTTCTCCTCTTTTCTGGTTCAAGAACTCGTAGTGATTTCAAGAAAAGGTGATGGTGAAGTGATGGTTGTTGTTGTTTGTTGTTGTGGGCTTGTGGTGCCTCGAGGAGGCTGGTTTGAGAGAGAAAGGAGAGGGGCGAGAAGTGAGGGAGAGAGTTTGAGAGAGAGAAGGAAGTGACAGAAAGAAAAGGGGAGGGGGAGGTGTCTCGGGGAATAGGGAAAAAAAAGCAAAGGACAAGGATCCAAAGTGGGTCCCATTGGCTCACAAATTAAGGTCACAAGAGACGAAAAGTGAAATATCCGAAAAATGTTTGACGTTTCGAAACATAATGTCTACGTTATAACTCCAACTTTGAATCTGTTTGCGCTCATGCGTTCGTAGCGATGAGAATAATAAACTAAGAAAATTAGTCACAATCATTACAGTCGAGACGGTCAACGAAAGTGTTCATGCCTAAAGGGTAATTTGGTAGTTTCATATGTTCGATAATATGAAATACGAAAAATTTAGGACGGGGTATCACAACCCCTCGTCTAAAGGAAAAATACACATTTTCTATATCGTCATAAGTATTTATAATTAAGTTGATTTTTTCGTGTGGTCATAAAATGAACAATGAAAACAAAGAATTTCTCGACCCAAACAAAGCACGATTTTAATACACGAGTCAAAATAATAGTATCCAACTTTCAACCCACATACAACTTAATTTTGACACTGTATGCAATAATAACAACTACTATATATTTTTTTTATTCATGTTTTTTTATACAAGTTAGAGCAGGGAGGAGGAAATCAAATCTAAGATATAGAGTACACATGTAAATGTTCATAATTACTTTAGCAACAAGTATCTTGAAAAAGATTTTTCCAGTGGACCAAAAGGATAAATGGAATTGAGATTAAAATTAAACGTCCATTTTGACGAGAAAAAATTGTTACCTAGAGTTGAAAAACCTAGGAAGCACGCGAGCTTCAATTTGGTGCAGAAATGCGTTCGGGGAGTTTGAGTGGCAGCGGCCGAATTCACCTAAGTTCGTCAGGGCTATGGCATGTGATACGGCATGAAGCGGCTCTGATTTTCCAATTGTGAAATTCAGGGCAGGTAAATTGGTGTGCGAGATTGATCCCGCGAGAAATTTGCAGAGGCATGAGCCTTGGGGAAGAAGATCACACACCGTTCCAATTATTTTGTTATTTGTCCTACCCTAAACAACTGTTGGCATCACTAATTGTCATTGGTTGACTTAAGAAAATAATAGGGGAAAGCACTTGAGTACATATATTATGGAAAAGTGAAAGTTTGTCAAAGCATATCATATCCTTCTCTTCTTCGCTAGGGTTATATGAAAATTATTTAGTAACTAAACGGTATGAAAATTATTTAGTTTCGACAAGTAAGAATACCATTACATACGGTATGAAAATAATACCATCGTACCAAACTGTTATTATAGTAACTAAACGGTATGAAAATTATTTAGTTTCGACAAGTAAGAATACCATTACATACGGTACAATACATTGATGTCATTCTAAACATAATTGGAAATCACAATAAACTAAAGTTTCAAAAACAAAGGCAAAGCTATAATTAACTCATTATATTTTTTATTATGTAGATTGATGTCATAGAAGCTGACTATGAGATAGTAGCTCCAAAAATAAAAGTTGGTTGAGTATATGAGATCAGGCAGTAAACAAAAGTACAAGGTCGTACCACACCCAGTACAACTATTATTCAATGTGAAAACAACTTTCAATTACATACCAAAAAACCTCCACACATTCCTGAGCACTGCTTTTATTTGGTGGATTATAGTGAATTGGTATTGATGAGTTGATTTTATACTACACATTTCTCCTATTCTTGGTATATTTTGGTGAGATTTTGATGATTTCTTATATAGTTTTAATTTAGAACATGCAAATCCTTTTTTAGCATAAAATAGTCAAACGGTGGAATTTTTAAGTTATTCCAATTGAAGTGGATTCATGAGTCTATCAAGAATGTTGTCAAAATTTCCTAACTTTAGCCCAAAGCATCTGATCGTGGCAGATTAATTTATGCCCAACCCTCAGTACTGGCAGATTAGGCTGCACTGCAAAGCTTATTTGTGACTTTTGGACCAGGAAAATGATGGATTTTGGGCTTGGGCTCTTCTTGGGACTTGAAGAAGAAGGTCCTAATCTTTAATTCAAGTCATTTGGGCATATTTTGGATCCCTGAAGGTCCATAAACGTGGTTATCGCTCTACTAGGAAGATTTCCTATCATGATTTGGATTGTGTTTTTAAGTTATCTTTATATTATTTTGTTTCCTAGATTTTAGAAGACCTTTTCCACGTGGGATTTTAATTTGTAGTAGTATAAATAAGGTTATTCAGCCATTAGGGTTCTCTACGCAACATTGAGAGAACTTAGCAAAGCTTTGGTGAATTTCAAACTTTATAACTACAAGGTGTTTTCAATCATTTTTCTACTTAATGATATTTTCTTTGGCTTTTTTAGTGAGTATGCATAAGGTATCACTAAATCTAGAAACGACAACCCCATTTCTAGAATCGGTGCCACTATTTCTAGAATTGGTGCTACATGATGACTATTTATAGAAATAATGGTCACACTATTTTTTATAAAAATAATTTACAAAATTCAATTTAATCTGAAGTCATTTGCCTATTTATTTATGACGATGAAATTTCGTTGTTTCTTGTATAATAAAGTGTTCGTCAATTTCTTTGAAGTCAATTAGATGTCTCAAATATTTTCGATTTGGCTACATTTTTGCAAGGAAGATCTAAGTGGCCCAACATGAAAAATGGATGGTTCAGATCGTTGAAGGTCGATGTGGTGTGGGTCCCACAACTAATCTCCATATATATATATATATATATATATATATATATATAAAGAGAAAATGAATATGAGATGAGAAAAGAGAGAAAGGGGCTAGGGCCAAGTGAAAGATAAGAGATGAGAGAGATGAGAAGTGGACGGATGGACGATGACAGATGCGAGAGGGGAGAGATGAGAGAGAGAAAGAAGAGGGTGGGGCCAGTGGAAGAGGAAGGAGGGAAAGAATAAAAAAAATTAGTAGTTGGGCCAATTTGTTAGGTTGTTTAATGTTGAGTTTTGTCCTAACCATTAAATAAAGTTATTAGGTAGTTTTTGGTTAAAATTCAAAGTTTTGAAGTCTTTTTCATTAGTTTCTCGAAGTTATTTTTGGTTTAATTTGTTCAAGTTTGAGTTTTATCGTTCTAGCTATTTGGGTTTGAATCTTGGACATTAATTAAGGATGCTTTGCTTTGCTTTTG